GTTACAGTTGTCACCAGTTCAAAAAACAAAGTTTTGAGAAAAACGCGTTTAAAGTTTCACATTAGCGCTTTGAAGTGCCCGAGCTCTCTTTGTTATTTGTCGAATAACTTAAAAACGTATTATCGGACCAACGTGAAATTTTCAGAGAATATTTTTAGGATATTACACTTAACGAAAGTGCAAAAAAAAAAAAAAATTTTGAAAATTCTGACTAAACCTCACCCCTTTAAGCGCTTGTCAGGCATTTTAAGTAGCACAATGACACTTTTGCTTGCTACACTTCAAAAGGCAAATACTATTATATTATWTTGCAGAAGAAATTCGAATAAAGTCCTCAAACCAGCAGAACTTCCATAAAAGCTCTCTACTTTATTATTATTATTTTTTGAATGTGAGAGTTAAGAGTCTCTATCTACATACGGGTTTTCTCTTTCGCTTTTATAAGGACGGAAGTATTTAGGAGTTGAGTTGAGAGTAAATTTATACCGCTATTTATATTAAGGTCGTTTTAGTTGCACTATATTGCTATTCAATTGTGTGGTAATCGGTAAGCTTGATAGGCGTATTGAGTAGCTACAAATTCATTCAGCAACCATTTCTCACAGATATTTCAAAGTAACAATTGTTAAAAGAAGTGATAAGTCTTCTATTAAGTTATCTTAATAAATACCGATAATAGGTGTTATTATGATTGAGGTTATATGATATACGAAGAATGATGTACACAACTACTTCTTATTATTTAATGATAACAAATTACCGTAATATAGGATAATTGAATACATCAATGAGTAATTAACAGTACRATCGATATATACATGTATACATACATATAAAGATATATATATGTGGCATATAAGTTTTTTTTTTTTACTCACCTGCAGGAACATATCACCGTCGAGTAGGCCATGCTCAAAGGCGCCCAATTCGCGCGTTCGATAGCCATCATGTGCGTGTGTGTGTATGTGTGGCAACATGCCATTTTCCTCTTTATCCTTATGCATAACAACTGTAATTAAGAAATAGTAATAAATGAATATATGCGAGAGAAATTTATTGATTGAGAAATAAGTAGAGAAAAGTAGTTAATGGCTGTCGAAAGAATATTTGTTATAGAAGATTTGATGAAATATGAAGTCCAAAAAAATTTTTATATTTTATAATCAGCTTTATTTTAAATAGATTAAATGTACGTATATATATATTAGTTTTTGAAAGTTACACATACAGACAATACGGTGAGGATTGAAATTAAGACATAAAAATAATTTTTTTTGTCAACTTTTGCATCTCTGGAATGGAGACTCCATCAAATAAATCTAATAACTAAGATTAATCAAGCTTTTCAAGAGCTTTGATGAAGCTTAAGTGAAAAGAAACATTAAATGTTTTTTGGTCAACTTTTTCCTCATTCGAATCGATACACCATCAAATAAATATACTAATTCTCATTCCTTCAAGCTTTTGAAGAGCGTTGATGAAAGCTTAAGTTAAAAAGGAAACAAATTAAATGTTTTTTGGTAAACTTTGCCCCATTCGAATGGAGACTCCATCAAATAAATCAACTAATACTTTCAAGCTTTTCTAAAGTTTTAATGAAAGCTTAAGTGAAAGAAGAAAAAAAAAGGAAAAACAAGAGCTGACTTAAGTTACTCCACACAAATGTTTGCAAATATGACTTCTAGCACTATTAGTGAGCAAGGCTAAAACAGACTAGCGATATAGTCGAAAAAATGGTAATTTGTCTAAATCTTCCAAAAAGTTATATGTATATATAGCACAATGGATAAAGTTAACTGCGGGTTTATTGAAAAATCACGAAAACAAAACTTCCATACTTTTTTTACGTAGGCACTTTGGTTTAGAATATGKATGAAATTTCTGGCTTTTTCAGCAACTCAAAAGTAAAAAAGCAATCAAAGAAATTTTAAGGCTTAATATTTATTCCCACTTTTTATTTCATCCATTTCGAATATATTAGGTTGTCAAAAAAGTCTTGCGGTATTTTCGCTAGCTGGCGCTGAGAGCGCGTAGTTCTAGTTTTATTCGTCGCATCGGGTCATGCTATACCTTTTTGGAAAGCTCATTTCATGCGCTAACACGTGTTTGATTGATTGTCGTTTCTTTTAAGTCGTTAGTGAGTTATAGCG